GAAACCCGAGAAAGTGCGCGCGGGCTCATAGTTTCTCATATTTCGTGAAAAACTCTATTGGCCTCGAGCTCTAGGAGTGGCGCCGTCTCGCGTGTGACGTCAGTTTGTCAACTCCGCCATGGACTTCGCCTACTCCGCCACAGAATATCTGTGGCGGGAACATTGTCGAACGAACAGCCTCGCGAGAGTCAGCTAGCGCCCACAACAAATATTTTTCGAGGGCCATTATGAGTTTGTTTTAGTTGCAGCCCAATTGACAGGGCCAAGAAACCTCACAGATGGCCGATAAGCACGTCGCGATGCCGCCTACAGTATTACTGGCAAGAAAGTGAAACTATATGTAAGTGTTATTGCTCGCCATCTGCAGTTTCCTCCGTGTGATACTAATTACTTTGGGTGTTTCGCAACATAAATAAGCCAGCCTTTATTCATAATCTACAAGCATGTAGATACAGCTAGCGAAACGTTGCGATGTCTCATCGACGGCGCGGCGGTGTACGACGCAGGCACGTTGTTGAATGTGCGCAGCCGATGCCGTCAATGGAGACCGCATCACCGTGGCGACTCTGCTCCTGCAAACACGTGGACCTGTGAACCCGCCACACGTCCCGGTGGTGATCGAGTGCTGCGCAATGGTCAATACTACTCTGTGCCTCAGTGTGCTTTTTCTGCCCGTGAGAAAGACCTTAGCTTCCACAACAATCCTAAAGAGAAGAAGACCCTTTTCCTTTGAATGTTTTTTCTGCAGTGCAATGATAGTAGCTGTGAACACGAGGATATGTCTGGGGATCGCGGATTTCTGCCGCTCCGGCATTCGCAAACAACACATGAGATAATTACTGTATAGCAGCTAATTAAATTGCTGCTTCGGCGGTCAATAGACCGTTCATGGCATCTGCTAGAAATGTAAGGCATGCACCCAAATGCGAAATTTGATATTATTGTGCTTGGATTGCAGTTATGGGTATCGGCAGAGCGCAAGGCGGACAATGTTAGTGACAAACTGTCATGAAGCAGCTTTTCTGCAGCCAGTTTGTGAGAGTCGCAAAAATAAATGCCTTCCGTTCATTCTTTAACCACTTTTTTTTATTTACTCACGTAACTTGAAATGTCCACATTGGAATGATGTAATCGCAATAACTTTTTAATTCAAGCAGAACATTTTCATATTGCATTTTACATTACTGATTGAAAAGCTCGAGTAGCAACATCGGTACATCTTAACTCACTTGATTTTTTGCCTGACCATATCTTGGGGAGGGGGGGGGACTTATAGCTTCTCTGGATCTGCTCCTCAGGGCCCAACTAAAGCTCTTGTCATGTTATGTTGTCTGATTCTTTTGCAGTTCCCCTGAGTGTAGTGATTGTGAGACTTTCAACAATGTATTATACCACTCCAAATCTTTGTCAATCCCCTGGAGCCATCAAAGAAGGAAACTGAGACAGCATACTTTTGTCTAGCGCCATGTCAGTGAAGCATTGAAATGAAATGAAAATGTCTGTTGGGAAATGTAGCACACATTTGGTTCCTGCTAATGTGATTGGCCCAAAACAGCTGGCTTCCAGCCAATCACATGACCAAAAACCATGTGCCCAAGATGGGACAGAAGACAATGTGTACAAGATTGCAACCCTGGTCTCTGGCTCACGTTTCCACCCTTGCCTCGTTAGTACCCATTGCTCATTATGCTGGGAAATAGCCACCCTTTCCAATATTCTATGGAACTGCAGGAAAGGCTGAGTTCCTCTGGTCACTACCTCACCTATGGCATGGAAAAGTATGCTAAGAACCCAGGGTCCAGCTTCGGGCCATAAACAGAGCTGGGAAGATGGCTGACAGTCATGGTTTAGACTACGTCCTGTTAATATGACTTTAGAATCAATAAACATTTGTTCTCCTCTAAACATAATCATAGTTCCCTCTTTTCCCGATTATTCTTACACCAAATCAACTGTCATTTTCTGCCGGAGCTTTAAATTAGTGTGACTGCTAAATGGGTAACTTTCACAGTGTGTACTTGGAAACCATGTGGAACAAACAGCCTGCCTAGTTTTCATTACATTGTGTGGTTGAGAGGAAATTGAACAGATTCAAGAGTTCACACCCCTGTATATTGGAAACTGTAAATCTTCTAGCAATTTAACCATAAATTCTCAAACTTGACTTTTCTTAGAAGTGTGGCAGCTTGGGCTAGTTGGTATGGCATGAAGATAGTGTCCTTCTTGCCTCTGTGTTGTCGTTTTGTTCTCGCGCTATAACTATCGTCTTGACTTTCCTGTTTTTAAATAATGTTTCACTCTTGCTTCTGCATAAAGCTAGCAGAGCCTGCTCTTTTTTTGTGCCCAATTACTGTTCAGACTATGCCTATCATTCTTGTTCAGCTTGTTTTTGCATTAACATAATTTGTATAAAGAACATCTGCCTAGTCAATAATTAGCCATTTTTAGCTGACTACCGCAAAGAGTCCATTTTGCTCCTTTTTTACACAACACAAAGAAAATTGCATACATTTTCAATTTTTTATAAGTGTGTAGTAGCATGCTTCCTCGAGACGAGAGCGACCCACAGTTTGCTTGAAAGCAGAAAGATGCAACAAAGCGTATCTATGATTTGGCTCAGTTCAACAGGCCTTGGCAGCAGAGTGACAAGACGATAAGAAGAGTTGTCTTTTTGCCACACTGGAAGGACCTATATGAGCAAATTTAAGAGGAAAGTTGTCTGTAGATAACAAACACATAGTCAATCACCAGAGGATGCAAGTTGGCTATCACACTCTTAAGTTCGTCTGGCAACTATGAACAATCAGTGTTTTGCTGTTTTTGTTTTTTGTCGTGCTTTTTACATGGCTGCGTCTAGCTGGGTCAGTGACGGCGTGCAGCGTTTCGTCGTGGTCCTGCGATGTCTCAGCGCAGAGACAGAGATAAAGCAACAGTTGAGGTGGGCCTGACTCTTGTCGCCCACACAGCAACTGCCGCTGCCAACCCTAACATGATCGCGCCAGTGACGTAATGCAGGCGTTTGAGAGTATGGACAGACTATAGGCCTTCACTTTTGAACAAATCGCAGTGCTGCTGAAAATGAAAACATTTTCTCAGTGCAAAAAAATACTGACAGGGCACCACAGTGTTGCGACAAGTTTTCTTCTATTGATAAATTATATACACTGTATGCGAGAGTACTCCCTTCCTGCCAGAAAAGTAGATTCGGGATCTGCTTTTCCGAAAAGGATCTTGGCCGGAAAGGAGTTACTCCTTTGTCGTGTGTCACTGCGCCCGAACGCCTTTCCGAAAGATGTCCCCTTGTCTAAAGGACTTCAGGGTGCCCGTGTGATACCCGTGACACACGGGCAAAAGTAAAGTACTTTGTAGTAAGCCCGTTTTGTCGCCTAAGGGGACCATTTGCAGAAAGGAGTGGCGCTGATGACACATGGCACCGAACTACTGCTTTAGGCGGTGCCTCAGAAGAACGCTGCAGAAAAAATGGCGCTGTTTGTGGAAGCAGCAAGATTGGAAATATTAAAAAGAATCTGTGCATGTACATCACATTCAGCGACGCCGGAGCATAAAACCGTTTTTTTTTATTGTCTGGTGGCCTATATTGCGCATCCCTGTAATTTTCTTTCGCTTTTTTTGCGTTTTTAGCAGCAACTTAAGTTCGTCTGGCAACAATAAACAATTGGTGTTTTGCTGTTTTTATTTTTTGTCGCGCTTTTTACATGGCTGCGTCCAGCTGGGTCAGTGACGGCGTGCCGCGTTTCATTATGGGGAATACCGGCGTCGGTGAGGCTCTCGGCAATCGCCTGGTACACTCCACCGTTGTGCTTTTGCCCTCGCAAGGCGTCCAAATGGTCCTCCCATAGCTTTATCAGCGCCCAGGTCTCCTTTTCAGTCCACTGGACGCGCGGATTTTTCTTCACCGACTGAGCCGACTCCATTGTTACAAGATACTACGTCGCCGACACAGCAAATGCCGCTGCCAACCCTAACATGATCGCGCTAGTGACGTAATGCAGGCGTTTGAGAGTATGGACAGACTATAGGCCTTCACTTTTCAACAAATCGCACTGCTGCTGAAAATGAAAACATTTTTTCAGCGCAAAAAAAATACTGACAGGGCACCGAAGTGTTGCGACACGTTTTCTTCTATTGATAAATTATGCACACTGTATGCGAGAGTACTCCCTTCCTGCCAGAAAAGTAGATGCGGGATCTGCTTTTGCGAAAAGGATCTTTGCCGGAAAGGAGTTACTCCTTTGTCGTGTGTCACTGCACCCGAACGCCAAACCTCATCACACCAAAAGTTGCATCTCACACGAAATTAAGTTCTTTATAAGCAACAACTAGTTTAAGGTATATTCTTTACACTATTGCGAGATTATTTATTTACTTCGTTGTAACCAATATTTCGTTACATTCAAGTTCGTTATATCGAGGTTTGAGCAACTCTATAAAGGGTAAGTGAAACTACTACTACATTGTTTTGTGCACCTCCAATCGTAGGTCGGCGCACTTACACACGAGTGGACTCACCCCGACTCGCTCAGATCGAGCAGAGAAAGTCCGGGTGAGTAATTCATTGGAGAGTTTGAGTCCGAGCGAGTCCGGTTGAAGAAAATTTTTGAGGGTGCGAGTCTGAATGAGTTCAGCTAGAAAAATTTTGGCGACTCCGAGTCTGAGCGAGTCCAAAGCGCAAGACATATTTCTTGAGCGAGTTTGAGTCAGTTGCACTTCTTTCTGCCAACCTATGCCTCTAATATACACAAGTCACTACACTGCGCACAATCCAGCAGGAAAAGAATGCTAGCACTGGCTCCTGCTAGGCGGGTATATATTAGTTGACTGAATACATGTATACTTCGGTATTTCTGACGCAGGGTGTGTCATGCCTAGGTCATTAAAATTTAGGTTAAGCTACGATTCTGAACTGTGAGCACTTCGGAACTTTGCAGACACTAGAGGCCATTTCTAGATGGGCACAGATAAAGGAGCAAAAGACATCAGGCTGTTTCTGAAAAATTTATTGTCATTCAATATGTCACACTTTGTATTTACATCTTCCTGTAGACAGTGCACTGTAAAGAGAGCTCGGCAGGGAAAGAACAAAAAATAGAAACTCCCTTTTTTTTTTCTTGCCTCTGTCTCTACGTACAGGTCTGTTCTTGCAGCAGCAGAGCATCAAAAAACCTAATTTACACCTTCGACAAGTCTAAAGGTGGCAGGGAGGGCCAATCACAACACACTTGACCTATACTCAAGGAACAAAAGCCAAGCTCATTGTGCAGGAGGCAGGAACAAGTTTTTGCATGCAGCAACAATGCACCAGGGAAGGGAAGTGTCTGTCTACCTGTGCTCCAATATAACAGTGAATGGCTCATTTCCAACTCCAACCATGTAGCCCTACGACTCACTTATAGGCTGCAAATGCAGCCACCAACATGTCATGTGATTGAATATGAAACAAGCACATAATAGACTGGCACAAGGTAAGTCCTTGGTTTTTGCTTTTTCTTTGGAAGTTGAAACTGCCCCCTTTTCACTCCTGCCTCCACTATTTTTTTTTTTACACTAAATAATTTTCTTTATTCTGGCCCCAGTTACTCAGAAATCAAAAATACTTTTTGCAGAATAGCAATCTTTCATATCTTTACTCTACGCAGTATATGAAAATTACTGCAACTCCCCCTCTCCTTTTCATGTGAAGTAAAAATAGGAGGCTCTCTAGACTCTAGGTACTCTGAGTGAAGGTACATGTATCAAGAGGGTAATCCTCGTCTTGAATACTAAGATATAAGACAACGCTGGACGTGCCCGCTTATGGTCAACAGGTATGAACAGGAATCCTAAACAATACGATTCAGCACATGTCAAGGTGCTCAAGTAAGCAGTTTAATAAAGAGCTTTAAATTAGTCTTACTTGCACAATTTAACAGTGAAAGATATTTCCAACTCGACTTCTGAAACCGTCTCGTCACTGTGGCGAGAGGTAAACACTGGCGTGTACATTGCAGTAGTGATGCAAAGTTGCAAGCAGCATGGCCTGCAGTCATGTATTGACGACTTTAATCACAGCTGTCACTTTATATGGATTACAAGGAATATGTACGTCCATATCATGTTCACTAATTGTGGTTGTAGGTCAACTTAATGGATTTAACTGCATCAAGTGAACACTAAGTGTTTTCAGTGGTTCACCTCCTTATTACTGGCTGAAAGTACAGCCAAGAGTGGAAAAAACGTGAAACAAAACTATATGTTCCCAACATCCTTAGTGCTCTGGTTGACTCAATCAAGCAGCAAAAGGTGACAACAGTCAGCCCTTGTATTAATTTTTCCTGTTGTATTTATTAGCTGCAAATGATTTCGACACAGCTGGTCCCATGATTAGCAGTACAAAATAAAACATCACCTGTACTCGCACATTTGCAATCCACACTACGCCATAATTTAAAACTAAAGCCTCTGTAACTCTGCATCACTACTAAGTAGATTATGAACCAGTGCGGCACTCACAAGGCAGTGCCCTGCATATGCGGTTGGTTCCACACAGTTCTCCATAGAGGAGCACATGTGCACAAGGCAAGAGCCAGCAGAACAAGGACAAAAGGAACAAGGTGGGAGGCACATGAAAACTGTACAACCTTGGATGTTAACACAGCAGTTGGGTGTCTTTTTTCACTGCTTGCTCCATGCTTACAAAAAAATATTTTTATTTACTTTATTTTTTTCCCCTTAATGCTGTACAAACAACTAGAGCCTCATGACTGCCTTCAACAAGTATGATATGTCACTGCGAGAAGTTTACGTCACGAGACAAGACGAGTCAACTTGGATTGCTGTTGAAGTTTGAATAGCTGGTTTGTGCTGAGCTAGGCATCAAGAGCACAAACAGGCCACAGCAGCTTGTGAAAGGCAGAAAATGTTGCCTTTTACACAAGCAGTGTAGTGTGGCTGGATGACAACTGCGTGCTGCTGTGGAGAGGATTAACTTCAATCATTCGATTGAAAGAAACTGGGGTAGGCAGAGAATGAGATAGCGACGCCTTAAGCTCCTTACGACTTTACAGTCTTGCATCCCATACTCCACACCTGTTCTCCTCAGCCATTATTAAGTACACTTTAGTGAAAGGGTGTGCTCATTACTCGTGAGGCAGCAACAAAAAAACAAACAAAAAAATTCACAAGTGGGGCTAGCAGCACCACGGTGCATAAGTGCCCAGAACTGAAAAGTTAGCACTTCTCTAAGGTGGCTTAAGGAAAGAAATAACAAAATGAAGTGGGATGTCAAAGAGCACTGAAAACAATATATAGCTTCAGCTGGAAAGGAAGACTCACACATAACAACACAGGGTGGCTCTCACACAAAAATCACACACGAGGTCACCGAGATGTGTTGACAAGTCCATGTGCACCGGAAGAAAAGCACGGGTGTGCGCTTTGCGTGACGAATTCATCTTCTGCTTTGCACTTGCTTGATCTACTCCACCACATCACTGGCACACAAGCAGCACTTGTTGATGCTGGATAGTCCAACTGAAATCTTCAAAAGTGGCAAGGAAGAAGACAGTATCCAGACTGGTGGTAATTCCAATTTCTCTTTTTTTACCGACTAAAACGACATCTTTCGCTTGCTTGGCAACAAACTGCTTCACTGAGGACCCTGGCAGATAACGCACTCTACTGTCTGGTTGATGTACATAAATAACAGAAACAAGGGGCTTTCTTGCCACATGGAGACACTAGACAAGCCAGAGCCACTGGCAAGGGGAGAGCTAAGTGCCCTATCAAAAGGTGCAGCAAAGGGGAACAAGTCCTGCCTTGCCATGATATCAAAGCTTGGCTCATCCCCAAGTGTGCAATCTCTCATCAACAGAGATGCACTACTAGCTCTTCCTTTTTTTCTCTCGCATGCGATCAAAGACGCCAACGGTGGCACTAGCATGTGCAATGTAACTGTAGTGAAGACAACAGTCCCTGCGGCATCGCTACACCAAATTCAGCCACCACTGCACAGGAAAAAAACAACACAATAGGGCATGACTGAGGGCTGCTGTCCCCAATGACAATGGCAACAGGAGCCTGTCGTGCATTTTCCAACTTCGCTTCAATCACTTGCACCCAAGTGTGTAGCTTTTTAAGCTTGGAACAGGCTTCTCGTTGCTAGAATTCTGCCCCAGGTGTATAGAGGCAGCTGTTTCACATTGGCTTGTACAAAGCAACCCCATTATCCACTTGTCAGTTCATTGGCTGGCTGCTTTTTCCTTGGGCGTACACCAGTTCCAGACACACCTGCATCACTCCCACGGAAACTGAACAGGCTGCCTTGCATTCTGAGGAAGCGAGCAGCGCTGCAGGCTGGTTGGCATTGAGCACCGGTGTTGCATGTGCTGTGCATATGTGCAAACGGTTACTGCTGTTTCAAACACCGCTGCTTGTTGGAGGGAACCCGCAAAACTGCTGTGGCAAGTAGTGGCCGCTACGATTCGTGGATACCCTTGTTATGGCTGGCCGGTGTTGAGAAATTATTATGCACTTTCCCTGAAACAGAAAAAAAATGTTACAGACCAGCAGCATAAGTAAATGTGTTTTATTTTTTTAGCTAAAATCTTAAATTGTTCAAGAGGAGAGATGTAATTTTTTAATGGTGCAAGGGTCAGGTGGTGAGGCCAATTACTCGAACCACGAGCGTAAGTGTCATGTATAGCTCTTTGTAATGTTTCACATATATATATGTGTAATGTTTTCTTTTCCTGTAAAGACAAAGTACGAGGCACATTTATTCCACAATAAATATTTTGTTACCTTTCTACAGCAAGAACTAAAATTCAACATGTGACAACTAAAACAACCTCTTATTTAGATATGTTAGTTTCATAGAAAATGTAGACACACACATAATAGTACAGGAAAAGCTTGATAAATCGAATTTCACATGACCAGAAAATATGCCCTAATTAACTAAATCCCAAATAACTGAAAGTATCAAGGAAACAACAAATGTATATTACACCAATGTTACATATATTACACCATTTACTTGAGTATGTAAATACTGCCCTTTGCATATGAGCAGCGTAAAGTTGCTATTTTTGCCAGCTGGGACTTTGCTCACAATGTAGCCATGGCTCAACACCTCTCTCCTAAATAATTCGCCACACACTAACCCTAAACATTGTTACTGTCATCACCATGTGATTCACACTGACAACAATGGTGACACACACTGCGCCGCCTTAGTTCCGTTGTCGACCCATCCCATTTTCGCTCGTTTAGGGTACTTCACACTCGGTGCGCTTAGACAATTGTCCATATTAACCGGGTTGCTGCCAGGTATGACTGAAGTAATGAGAGTTTGATGCTACTGAACAACACTTCGGCTGGACAAGGCCAGAGAATGTGGTGGTTAATTACCCAATTTTTCAAATTAATGTGTCCAATTAATGAGCTTTCACTGTATTAGTAAAACATAACAGCTTTCTAGTGTTGAGCTAACAGATTGTGTGGTACCTCCAATTAGTAATGAGCAGCTTTTTCTGCTTCTACCAGTAGTGCCGAAAATATACTTTACAATAGCATCATCTTAACACTCTACAACAATATTAACACAGAGATTCGGACTTGCAAAGAAAAAAACTTATCTGAAGTGACATTGCAAGTACCTAGGTTAGTGGTGCCGAGAGTTTTGTGAGTTCTGCACACGTCTGCACATTTCCATTGTTTTACATTATGGAAATGTCATTTGACATCTAGCACCTGTCCTGTTTATGTGTCTCTTTCTTCTGTGTTAGTTCTGTTGCATTCGTTAAGGTGTACAAGTTCACCCTACTACAGGATCCAGAGCTTCCGATTTAAAAAGAGCTGTATAAACGCAATTTCACGTCATCACTCTCACAAAAAGGCAACACAGGTTGGGAAGCAAGCAATTGATAACTTCATAGGATGGCCGCCTTTGAAGTAACAAAAAAGAAATCGTCCAGATTTCGTGAAATGTGGGAATCGATAAAGTGGCGCTTTGACGTGTTTGCACACTCCGATAAGAAATGCACTGCAGACTGTGGCAGTGGATGCCTTTTGTACTCAACTATCAGTCCACACTGGGAGTGCACAGTCACACTCAATACGAGTTGCTGCAGCGCCTAAGGTCAAAGTGGCGTAAACACAACACAGCGTGGTTATCAAAAGACAGACACACACACACGTGCGTGTTTTACAGTTATTAAAAAATAATAAAAAAACATTTAAAAAAGGGGACCCAGGCTGGCCATATGATGCGTGGGACAGACGACCAGAGGACCGAAAAAGCAACAAAGTGGTTACGAAAAGATGGGAAATGCAGACGGGGAAGGCAGAGAGTGAGAGGGAGTGTCGAAATTGAGAAGCTCGCAGGGATAAAATGGATTCAGCTCGCACAAGATAGGATAAACTGGAGATCACTGGAAAAGGCCTTCATCCCGCAGTACGCTAAAACACGCAGAGAATAATGAACAATAATTATGAACAAGGAATGATTTGCTAAACAGCTTCACTGATAAAAAAACTCAGCTAATGAGTAGTACTTGCTAGTACTCCTTGTTATAGCAATAGTGTTACTTGTAGCATAATATTACTATTTGTCAAGTAATAAATACATTAAATATACCAATATACCAACCTTAGCCGCTGAAGGGCATCCTGTATCCGGTGGAGGCTCAGGCCAGGCGCAAGTCGGTGCAGCATTTCACAGAGAAAGACATCGCAGATGCCTGGGCAAGCTCGCTCAGCACGCTCAAATGCATCCCTCAGTTCTTCAACTGCCTCGGTCAGTTCTCCGCCAGAGTTGCGGTGACTGTTCTTATGCCTCCTCTGAGCCTGCACAAAATCGTCGAATCATGTGAGCTATTCAGTGCACTACATCAAAATGAACGCTTATTACTGTTTGACTGACAGAGCTTTATACCCTGAATCAGCAGAAAAGGTTATTAGTGATGTAGTGCTAGAAAGCTACAATCAATTTTATGACCAGCTGGGCTTTGACAACACAAAACTCTGAAACACACCAGACACAAGTTGAACTGCATGTCAATACAACACAATTTACTTTATAGCCTCAATATAACAAAATGTCCAACTACAACATAAACATAAGCTACTGTGATTTACAGTGTGGCAATGAAAGTAGAACAAAGTCTTCTGACAACGATGAAGTAACACGGTTGTCGCCTCTACAATGCTCCACCATACCTTGGAAGCCATAAACTGTAAAACACTGTGCTGATTAAAGGCACTAGAAGGCACGCACTACAGTGTATTGTGCATCTTTTGTGACAGCACGTAGTTTGGTGCTTATTTTGCTATCACGTGGAAAGTCACACCTGAGACTAGTCGTAAAAGCAGCAGGGTGATAAAGTAAAACCTCACTAACCTGACTCGTTATTTTGGAAAATCTGAATTTGAATTTCACCTCTGGTGTTGGCAAGTGTATGCATTATTCAATGGCAATAAACTCGCGTTACTTTGGATACATTTGGCTGCATTCTGGTGAACTCGGACAATCCACAAAACGCACGCAGTGCGAAAAAGCAATGCGAACAAAAACGAGGTGCGGCATAGTCCACACTATTATCAGTGCAAACTGCACAGAAATGGCAGCCAAGCCACAATGCTTCATGCCTATTCGCATTTAACATTTATTAATTACTGCTTCACTAGTGGGTGCAGGACCATGGAAGAGCCTGGTCACCACTCGTGATTGCACAGCTAGCAACCAAGGGTTCACGTATAGTGGTTGTGGCAAACTAGTTTTGTTTTGACTCAGCATATATAAACTGTGCAGACGCTGTCTAATACCTGTGTCACACGGGCGCGCAACAAGTCTTTTTTAAGTAAGCGGTCTTTTACGAAGTTGAAAAACTTTTAACAAAGAGGTGTTGCGGCGCAGACACACGGCAGCAACGATCTCCTTTTAGTGTTTTCGTTCGAAGACGCTAGCGAAAGCGTGGTGCTAGCAGTTAAAAGAGAAGCAATGAAAATTAGACGATGTATCACGATGTACAAATTAAAGACTTGTTGCACTGCTCGTTTCTTCAAATAAATTTAAGAATAAGAGATGAAGAAACACCAATGTGAATGTTTGTTGCACTAGTTAAGGAAGCATTCCCATAACTAACGACGTGCACAAGTCCGTCTGGCACCACTGGGCTTTTATTTACCGTATTTGTTTTTCGCTGCTCTCGACTGCTCTCGACACGTTATGGGCGACCGTACGGACGAAAAAGCGAGGATCGCAAGCCTCACGGCCTACCTTCTCGCTCTGGAAAGCGAGGCAGATGCTGCAAAAGCCACCAAGGAGAGGATCAAGGAGCAACTCCTGTTCAGCGATTCCTTGCTGTGCGCACCAGAGCTGTCGGAGAAGGCCTGCGATCGATCGATCTGGGCCTTCAGACGAAACGAGAGGTGGTTCGAGGGAACTGTACCTCACCTCGGTGGGCAGAACTTCAAGCAATCTTTTCGAGTGTACCCGTCCACCTTTTGTTTCATTGTGGAGAGCTTGCGCAGTGAGCTCGAAAGACAGTGCACCAGCATGCGTGAAACCATCAATCCTGAGAAGCGAGTCGGCATTGCCCTATACAAGCTTGACCACTTGAATGACGGGCAAACACACGACTGCCACGCTTTCCTCGCTTGTGCAAAATGGCGCGGCACGAGACCGAGCGTCACCACGTGATATTGCCGACGCGTTGTAGCTGCTTACGAGAGTACAAAAGGAAATAGCCATTAAAGGAGTTCATTACACCTTCTGCAGGATATGAAATTTGTTTTTACAAAGAGTTTTGGTGACAGAAAAATAAGCATTCGCTCTTTTTTTCCCACCACTCGAATATTGCTGGCGCCCACTGGTTTCGAGGCTACTCATTCGGAGCCGTAAAAGAGATCGACGAACTCCGTTTACGAAAAAGATGATGATGATGTTTGATGTTTTATGGCGCAAGGGCCATTTCACGGCCAAAGAGCGCCAGTTCATCTTACTAAAAACATGGACAATGATTGTGATAAGTGGCTGTATAAGGGCCATAAAATTCCTCGCGGTAAGGCGGGTAAAAACATACAAGTAATAAAATCATGACCATGTCGTGAAAGGTGTGTGTGGTGTGAATAGATGACAAAAGTTGGTGATAATAAAAGACGATGGTGGATATGTATGGCATTAGCACAAGTGCCTCACTCGTTCATACCCTTGCGTCCAAGGGCCGTGAGGCAAGTGCTTTCTTGTGTAACCACCGCAGCAAAAACCTCTCTGGAGAGGTCATGCTACGGGATGCCCGAGTATATGATATGAAAACTATGAATTTCTTTAAAAAAACGCTAACAATTATTTGTGACTAAAAAGCGGTTCCCTACCGACGAACATTGCAGGGTGTAAAGGTATATGTTGTCGGTAGGGTAATGGAAAGTGTTGTTTTCTTACAGTGTCCAATTGTTTGCACTCAATTAAAATGTGAAGGACTGTCAATACTTCACCACATCTGTCACACAATGGTGGATCGCCACCGGACAAAAGGTGTGTGTGTGTCATGTATGTATGTCCTATCCTGAGTCTCGTTAGTACTACCTCTGTATGACGCGATTTCGATACGGGCAGCCAATGACCAAGGTGTGGCTTAATAACGTGTAGTTTGTTTTGTGTGTGTGTATCCCACTTGCTCTGCCAGTATACTCTGAGGTTTCGTTTGAGAGACGGCTTAAGATCAAGGGCCGGGATTGATATGGGTGTAGGGGCAGTGCTTTTGTGGACGGATGCAGCGAGCTGATCCGCCCTCACGTTGCCTTGAATCTCACGGTGCCCTGGCACCCAGCACACTACAACATGTTGTTTGAGTGTGTAGAGTGTGCATAAAATGGAGTAAAGTGAGACAAGGACTGGGTTTTTGTGTTTTTTAAGAGTGTGCAAAGCCGTTACTACAGTGAGGGAGTCTGTATAAATTACTGCTTTTTGTATTTGTAATTGCTTGATGTGTTTAGCCGCCACAAGTATCGCATAGGCTTCCGCTGTGAAGATACTTGTGCCTGGATGGAGAGGGCCAGCATCCGAAAAGGATGGGTTGACAGCAGCTTAGGACACAGAGGAGTTAGACTTGGAGGCATCTGTAAAGAACTCAGGATGTGTGTATTTGTGTTGAAGTTCCAGGAAGTATGTTCGGATATGGGCAATAGGCGCATGTTTTGAAACTTCTAGAAAAGACACATCGCAGCCTATAGTCTGCCATTGCCACGGTGGCGGGTATGCTACAGGAGCCATTAAACTGTGTTCTAGTGAGACTCCAGTTTCCTCAGCTAGACTCTTCAGGCGAATTGAGAAGGGCTGCCCCATTGAAGGCCTGTTTTGAAACAAAATTGAGCTCGACAAATCATTAATAGTAGAGTATGAGGGGTGCTTCTTGTCTGCTTTCACCTTAAGGAAATAAACAAAGGACATGTAAGTTCTCTGCAGATGAAGCGACCCCTCATTTGACTCAACATAAAGGCTTTCTACGGGGCTGGTGCGAGCACCCGTAGAAAGGCGGATGCCCAAATGGTGCACGGGGTCCAGCATCTTCAAAGAACTTTGAGTCGCAGACTGATAAGCAACGGCCCCATAATCTAAGCGGGTGCGAATGAGGCTTCTATATAGGTTCATGAGACATTGCCTGTCACTACCCCACCTAGTACGTGACAACACTTTTAAAATATTCATGGCTTTTAAACATTTTGTTTTTAGATACTTGATGTGCGGTACGAAGGTCAACTTGTTGTCCAAGATTAATCCTAAGAATTTATGCTCCGTATTAACAGACAGACGTTGACCGTTCAGTCAAATGTCAGGTTCCGAGTGCATGCCTCTCTTTCGAGAGAACAAGACACACGTGCTTTTTTGTGGGTTCAGTCGGAATCCGTTTTCCTCTGCCCATTTGGAGAGCTTCTTTAAACCTAACTGAACCTGCCGCTCACACATTGCCAGATTGCAAGACCTAAAGCCAAGCTGGACGTCATCGACATATGTACAATAAAACATATTGCGAGGGATGGTCAAGCGCAAGGAATTCATTTTTATGAGAAAAAGTGTGCAGCTAAGTACACCACCTTGTGGAACGCCTGTTTCCTGGGCAAACGTTTGGGAAAGAACCGTGCCAACTCGGACACGGAATGTCCGGTTTGACAGGTAACTTTTGATTATGTGAAACATTCTTCCGCGCACGCCAAGGTGGGATAGGTCTCTTAGAATTCCAAAACGCCATGTTGTATCATAAGCCTTTTCGATATCGAGGAACACAGAGAGAAAATATTGTTTATGGACGAAGGCGTCTCTGATCTGTGCCTCGATACGAACAAGGTGGTCTGTCGTGGATCTACTCTCTCGAAACCCGCACTGAAATGGGTCGAGCAAATTGTTTGTTTCAAGAAAGTGTACAAGTCGGCAGTTTATCATTTTTTCGAAGACTTTGCACAAGCAGCTTGTAAGTGCAATAGGCCTGTAACTCGAAGCTAAAGAAGAGTCCTTGCCCTCTTTCAAAATGGGAATAACGATAGCCTCTTTCCAGGAGGTAGGAATAGTGCCAGAAGACCAAATAGCATTGTACAAACAAAGTAAGGTTTTTCGGGTTTCGTTTGGTAGGTTTTTTAACATTTCATACATCACACGGTCAGAACCTGGGGCAGAAGTACTGCAGGAGTTTAGAGATGTTTGGAGCTCAGCTAGACTGAAAGCTTGGTTATATGCCTCGTATCTAGTGGATTTGTGTTCGAGTTTTTGCTTTTCTATTCTTGTTCTGTATTTTTGGAAAGTGTCAGTATAGTGGCACGAGCTGGATACCTGTTCGAAGTGTGCACCGAGA